AAAACGTCATATCAATGCATATTTCAAAAGTAGCATATTACATTAAATTCACATATTAAAATACATAGGAGTGTATTATATATATAATTCAATAAGGTTTTTTTAAAAATGAATTAGAAGATATGAAGCAGAGATCGTTATACTCATTGTTAGCCTCTTAATACTCAATAAAATAGGTCAGATGCTTACTAAAAGTACAATATTGCTCATTTAGCGAGAGGAGTGAGTTTTGCTTAAATTAAAAAATGCCACTTAAAAAATACTCAATAATTCACTAAAAAATGCTCATTTGTAAGTTACTATGCTCATGTGGTACTCATTTTATACTCATTTTCTAAATGTCATATCAATGCATTTTTTAAAAGTACTACTCCATTTTGCATTAGGTTAACATATTAAAATTCATAGGAGTTGATTATAAATATAATTTAATAAGTTTTTTATAAAAGAAAAAAAAGTTTTTTATAAAAGAAAAAATGACAAAAAGAAAGTGAATTAGAAGTTATGAAACAGAAATCACGATTCTGAATATTAGACCCCTAATACTCAACATACTATGTTTGATGCTCATTAAAAGTTCATTAATATAATGCTCATTCACCAGAATAGCGGAGGTTTGATGCTCAATTAAAATGTCGTGATGTTCAACTAACAAACCTTACGACTTTCATATCAATGTGCACTTTGTAAGTTATGTATGCTCATTTGACATTGATGTTATGCTCATTTTTAAAATGTTATATCAATGCATATTTTAAAAGTATTATACTCCGTATTACATTAAACTCGCATATTGAAATTAATAGGAGTGTATTGAAGATATAATTTAATAAGTTTTTATAAAAGAAAAAATAAGAAAAAGAAAAAAAAATAGATGATATGAAGCTGGGACCGTGATACTCATTGTTAGCCTCTTAAATACTCAATAAAATAGATCTGATGCTCATTAAAAGTACATTATTGCTCATTTGGCGGAAGTCGTGAATTTTCGCTTAAACTATAAAATGCCGTCAAAAAAATTAGACTGTATTAGTTATTAAATGGGTTGTCATCTTTGTTATTTGTGCGTTTTGTGGACATTTCCGGAACTGGAGTGCGTGCAAAACAACTAAATTCGGAAAATTGGATTTACGGGTACTGTTCATCGTCCCTCTCGAGATGATGCCGAAGAAGACAGGTCCGAAGATTCAGCCATGGTGAGAGCAATCAGGGATAGTGGAAATTCCTTTTCCTTACCTCTAAAATTAAGTAGTGTGAAGATGCTGGGACAAATGGCCAAAATTGGAGCTGACCTGAAAGAACACTTCTGCTCCTTCTGCTCTAACTAATTGGAGCTGATGCTTAAAATAATTACAAATTAACCTGGATGTACGGTTCCCACCCGTACACCCGTGTGTATGATATACGAACTCAAAGTTGGACCGTAGCACAAGTCACTAATTTTATGATATAACTGGAACTTTAATATGAGATAAGAAATGAGTAAGATTGATACCAACCTGAATTGAACTTCATTTTTGGCATAGTTGTAATATCATATCTCAAACAAATACAAATAAAACTTGTTCCACACCTTTTAAGGTTGGATACAACCCTAGATTTGAACGGTAATTTCAATAGTTAATTGTTTGTTATGATAAAAAAGATAAATGAAATTCTAATAAGAAATCAGAAATAGTGTAAAGATGATAAGGTTCTAGTGAGTTTATACATAGAGTGTTACTAAAGAATTCTAGTCCTAATTCTATTTTTCTTTTAGTAAGTTGAATATTCTCATTTAAATTCTCTAAATGAAGTGTTTATCAGACCTAATATAAAAAATCTACATGACTCAAAATCGGCACTACTTAATCATGTTGCGGTTGAATTTATCCGCTCCCTTGTCAAATGTTTTAGGTCAACCAGTGACTCGAAACTCTTGATAGACTGTTTCATTTTCGGTCGTTTTAGGCTTCCTCTTGCCCGTTTTGTGTCTAGCGAGTCAGATTGCTTTGTATGGGTGGCTGACTCTAAATCTATGCATAGGGTTTACGATCGATCTGTAATATCTGTCAGGTTTTTGTCTTGCGTGTTTGCTCTATTTTAATGGAAACCTGTTTTGATGATAAAAAAAAACTTTCAAGTGATCATGTATGAGGAAGCGGTCTAGCTCAGCTAGTCGCCGACTCACTCTCCCTTATGAGAGGTCTCGGGTTCAAAACTCAATGAAGTGAGTTTCAGCCTAGTTTACTTTAGGGCGCCCCTAGACCCCCTCCCCCAGACCCCCCGAAGTAAAAAAAAGATGTGATCATGTATATTGCTTTTTTAAGTCCATGCAAACACTAATCGCTAGCTTAGGATCGTCCGCTATCGGCAAAGCCGAGGAGCGAGACTGGTTTTTTTCGGTCGCTTGTGGTTATCGGCAATCGGATTGGTATTCGGCAATTTGGATTTGGGAAGAGGCTTGGTTCCAGGGGCTTGCAAAGCTTCTGGTTCGGGATCGGCGACTACGAGGAACTGGACAGAGACCAGAGCACCAACGGCTGTTTTGGTAAGAGGGCAAAGGATCTAGATTGCATGGAAAACATTGTTGATCAGGTAGAGGAAGAAGAATTGGATCTTGATGAAGCTGATCTTGAGGATTCTCCGGTAGAGGAGAACAAACTGGGGTTCCCCGTTGTGGAAATATTGCTGACAGATAGTAAAGTCAAATTCTCATGGCATCGCTATGGAGGTTGGGAAGGGAGTACCGATTAAAGAAGTAGGTGATAAGAGGTACCTTTTTACTTTTTATCATCTTGTTGATATGAAACGTGTGCTAGATGGTGGTCCTTGGCAGTATGAGAGTAATTTGCTGATTTTGAAAGAAGTTAAGCCTGATGATATTCCACATAATTTTTTTTTAAATGAGGTTGAGTTATGGGTTTAAGTTCATAATGCTCCCTACAGCCTAATGAATTTAGTTACTGTTAGGCGGGTTGGTAATTTTATTGGAAAGTTTATAAGATGTGATGATAATCAGTATAGTGAGAAGTGAGAATCTTATATGAGAGTCAGAGTGAGTATGAATGTGGAAAAGCTGTTGAAAAGGGGTATAAATCTTAAGAAAGAAGGAAGGAGCTTCTGGGTGAACTTTAAGTATGAAAAGTTGCTCAACTTCTGTTTTATCAGCGGTATAATAGGGCATTCAAATAAACTTTGTCCTCTGACTTATGAAGAGGGCCTAATTCTGGAGAAAAATTTCGGGATCCAGCTTAGAGCAGATAGCGGGGTGAAGACAAGTCCAACAGGAGGAAATAAATGGTTGGTGGACGGATCATCCAGTTATAGCAGGGATCGCAGGAATACGAGGGACAATAAGTCTGATGGTAGAATGGGAGGAGGGGGAAATGAGTATATCTCAGAAACAACGCATAACACAACTAAAGGCGTGGAAATCGAAACTAAGGAGGAGGCATCAGGAGAACAAAAAAGAAGACGGATTTGGGAAACCCATGAAGATGACAAGCTCATGGGGAATAACTTGGCGCTTGATGGAGCAAAAAACGGGGAAGGAGCGGGGCTTCGACCAGTAAGTTCGCCGAAGCTGATTCAGTCAGGACCAGGGCGAAGGATTTGGGAGCTTGTGCTATTCAGAAGGTTGGGACTAGGGGTGGGAATAGACCAGACGGCCTTTCAGGGGCCTGTGGCTTGGCCTGTTTAATAAACAAGCAAGGCTTGGGCTTTTCAAAAAGTCCGTTTGTGTAAAAAGGTCAGGCTTAGCCTAACTCTAAAGCCTTTTTAGCTTAACAGGTCGACATATTTATATGTGTGTATATATATATATATATATATGTTTGTATATATATTTATTTGTATTTATTTTGTATTATTTATATTAGTATGAGTATACTTAACTTTAACAAATTAGGCATAAAAGTGTTTTTGATGGATCATGTATTACAATATTATAAATTAGAATACTATTGCTATTAAATATATAAAATTTGGTAATAGGTTATTAGGAATTTAGGATAATTTAAATTCAAAGTTTTTTAAAGATTTCAAATACATAAAAATTTATAATCTAAATAGCTAACGTCTTATTAGTCATTCAAAGCAAAACTAACATATCATTAGACTTTTTAGTGAATATTTGGGAAGATAAACTTTATACTGAACTAATAATATTTGTCACTTTTTATATTGAATTTTTATGAACTTTTTTTTTATTTTTTCTAAACAGGCCTAGTAAACAGGCTTCAGGCCAGACCAGACTTTTAAGCAGGCCGGGCTCAAGACGAAAAGACAAACCTTTAACAGGTAACAGGACAGGCTCAGTCGCTCAGGCCTATATATTTTAAAACATGCCCGACCCGTTTAAGCAAAAGCCTGACCTTGCCTGGGATAAGAGTTTTACGTCATTAGTATTATTTTATTCTTTCGAGACAATTTTCTTTGTTGTGTGATTTTTCGTTTTTTAATTTATTACTACTGTAAGAGTGTGGATTTGGATGTGAGTGATGGAAGGATTGAGGTAACTGTATTTGGCTCAGTTGTGTCCATTAATAAATCAACGAGTTATATTTCTTCTTTTGAGGTGATTAACTCTGAGTCTGATTTGAGGGACGACGGTTGTCAGGAATCTTTTAGTCGGGTTACCTACTATCTGAATGATGTGTTATCAATTTAGGTGCAAACTCTGGTACCCTTTTAAAAAATGGAGTACCGTACCTACTATTCATTTGATTGGACCACATCACTTTATCATTTTTAATTTAGATTTAAATAATTCAACTGCACCATTCCTATTAGTCCATATGGACAAATGTATGATATCTTGTGGATATGATAGAATCTACCATCAATTTAAGCTATTTCTTCCACACCAACCCAAAAAAAGTCCATGCAAACACTCCCCTACTCACAACTTAGAACTTTTGATTTACACGCTGCCCCCGGTGAGGTGGATGATTGAATCTGACGAGGCGGTTGATGATTGGTGACGTCCAGCAAAGCTCCGCTGACAGTGGCATTCATACACACGACTCCGTACGACCGCAGCTATCTTCGGTTCTATCTGCTGAGATCATTTCTACCGAAGATCTCTGCGGCAATTCTCCAGGACCATTCCCAAGAGACCAAAGAAAAATTTAGAATCAATGAGGAAATGGGTCTTGATATGCAGCATGGTCATATTCTTATCAGCCTTGTTTCAAAGGACTCTATGTGGGCACTATCCTCCTACTCCGTTCGCAGCTAGGAGGAAACGCATGAGCGAGAAAGTTCGCAAAATGTAAGCTTCTTGAACAATTGCTAGGCATCTAGCTAGTATGCTCTTTTGTTTTGTTCATCAAATTTCATTTGCATCTTTAATCTTCTTAGTCCATAAACCAGTCTGCTAGAGTTAGGAAAATAAGGAGGAAGAAGAAGATTTCCATGCTTGCATCTGAATTTGTATTCCCGTGTTTTTTTCTGTTTGTAGTTACTGTATATTACTTATAGAGTTATAGTGCATATGTGGTGGATTGCTTTTAGGTTTAAGGCATTGGTTCATTGAGGTGCTCAGACATTTGAATTGGGACCTTGGGGTTTTACAAACTATGCCATTCTTTTTCCGTAAAGTTATCAATTTCTTTGTGATTAGTTCTACATTGGAATTTTAGCTATGCAAAGTTGCATTGAAGATGATAATTAAAAGTGAGGTGTTTCAATCAATTGAACTGATTGGTACCCACTAAAGGCGAAGACACTTCTAACTCAATAATGACACTCAACAATGCCGGGTTCATAGTAAGGGCTGTGCGTAAGTTTGTCATGCTTTAATTTCTGTCTTACACTCACTGATAATTCAAAGATGCTGTGCGGGGAGTGTGCGCCTTGTGCTGATACACACACATATTAGTTAACATGTTTCTTGAATGGTCTCCAAGTTTTCGTGACATAATAAGAAAGGAGAAACTCCTTTAAAAATATACTCCTTCCATCCCCCATCGTTGTCCTATTTTACCTTTTTTCATCCGTCCCACTAATGCTCTGTTTGGGTAAGTGAACTTAAGTAAACGTAGTGCAATAAAGTAAATCTAAGTTTTAATAAAAACTAGGTTAACCTAAGTGAACTTAGGCTCGTGCGTAAAATAGTGTTTGTAAATAAATTAGGTCAACCCAGGTTAATGTAATAAATGTTGTTTGGATGAAGATACTCAAGCTTATTTTATGTTAAACAAGAACTTAACCTCCAAAACCCCCCATTTCGGAGGTTCTTCAATTTAAGGTTTTTCCAGGTTCTCGGGAGTTATGTGAGGCCCATAACCTAGGTTCTTGTTGCAAAAACACAAACAAACGAGGTTAATTAAAAATTGAACCTGCAATAACCTAGGTTAACCCCCAAACAAACAGACCATAAGTTTGTCTCGTACCATATTTGGTAATATTTGGATGGTTGCAATTCATTCTTACTTTTTTCACACTTCCAGTTCAATTCCAACCACACAATTCCACTTATCTAGTTATCTTAATAACCGCACCACTCCCTTTTGTCCCAATCTTAGGGGGACGGATGTAGTACATTATAATGGTTAGTAGTTCTTGCAAGACCAAAGGTATGTCCAAATTGAAGAAACTTTTCCCAATGTTGTATTGATGTGGTATCTCTGCTGTTTGAAAAGATTCTCTGTTTTTATGACCTTGTTCCATTCAAAAGACTTTTTTCCCTTTGCATCAGGTTTTATCATGCTTACGGGAACTATATGATCCATGCATTTCCGGTTAGCTGAGCTCCTTGATTAATATTTTAAAGCAGCTTCATATGTATTTGACTACTGTATAAATATAAAGCTTATATTTCTAACTTTTTTGTAGCATGATGAGCTTAAACCTCTGACCTCTACATTCACAGATTCTCTGAGTGAGCTTGGAAATTTAAAGGTAATTGTATCTCCAGCCATACACTGATTTCTAATATGGTTTAGCTGGACAAACTTTGTGAAGTTTGTTCGACTAAATAATTAAATAATAAATATGCAATTGGATGTTTAGCTCGAGCATCTTCCACAACAATATAGTGGCTCAGCTCTTACACTAATTGAATCATTGTCCAGGTACTTTACCTTTATTTGGACGTGTCTGAGGGAAACATTTGATTCACTTCTTTACAAGCCTACATTGAAAGATTACATCTATTTTTATTTATTTACATGTACTTAAGAAGAAAGCCATCAATATATTGTCTCTGTTATCTGTTTTCTTTTTGCAGTCTTTTTATTCTGGGTAATGTCACTGAGTTTGAAAGGGCAGTTCTTTGGCTTTCAGAAAATCTTTCATTTGACACCGATGCAAGAATAAACCTTTTTGAGGTATAATTTTGTTTTATTTTTTATCATCAAATGGTGTATATTACTAACATGTTAGTATGTGGCTTAACTGATTGATTGAAAGTCTTGTCATTTTCAATATTAGTTTCAACGAACTTAATAATCAGCTGACAAACAAACTTATTTTTGGATTTAAGAATGTCAGGGATTGGATGGTCCCTACTATAGATGAAATTTCATTGTTTTTTCTTTTAAGACATGAAAATGGTGATGTAAGAGGTTTGTTTAATGATGTTTTTTTCCCTGGGTAGTGCAACATAAGAGTTCTTGGCGGACTAGTTTCTGCCCATCTTCTTGCAAGTGATTCTACAAACATGTTGGTTCAAGGAACTTATAAGAAGCAGCTTCTTGATCTAGCAGAGGATCTGGGAAGACGTTTACTACCTGCTTTTGATACACCAACAGGACTGCCATATGCTTGGATCAACTTGAAGGTAACCTTTATGCCTCCAATAGCATCTTTATTTTAGAGCCTATAATGACTTGTTTTGCTAGAAATTACCAAGGTCTTGAAGGTTTTTTGCTATTCCAAAAAAATTTATTGTGCATGGAAGATTTGAATATGCCAAAATCAAGGATGAGTTCTTTTGTAGCAGAGAAATTTGGTAGAGGGACTCTTAGGTGTTAGTTTTCACTTTTCACCAATATTTAGTCGGTATGTAGGAACAAAATCATGATTCATGAGGATAAAGGAATCAGTATGATTCTCCTACACTTTCAGGACTGTTTAGGATCTCTTCGTTTAGATCTAGTACATAGTACATAGTACTGTAGGTGTAGTTTGATACATCATAATAGCATGTAATGTAATACTCTCTCAGTCCCTTTTCATCCATAAAACGGTTTATTGGTACAAATAACATAAGAGAATGTAACCACCATTTATTTGAAAAAGCAACCCCAAATATTTGGAACCAAAGTCGATTAGCAGTATTGCAGTAACCATTGATTAAGTTTCTTCCGATTGAGTTGGATTAAAAGCGTGAGATGTATTTGCGCCATCATTGTCTTTGAATAAAGTATTTTCTACGGTAGCACCATGAATAACACATAGCAAGGCAGCGCACAGTACAGCAGCAACTCCCATCATATGAAAGCGGTTCAATGTCCAATTATGAAACCCTTGAAAAAATAGGACGAATCTAAATATAGCTGCTACACCAAAACTCGGTGAAAAGAACCAACAATGACTGACCTAAGATACACTTTCCTTTTCTGATTTGTCCCAATAATTCGAACAGTTTCCTAATTCTGAAATGTCATTAATTAATAACTATAAAAAATAGGAAGTAGTATTTATGAATGATTCATCAAGTAATATTTTGAAATATCATGAACACCTGAGAAGTTTGCAGATAGCTTGGTAAAATCGTGCTACCCAAATTGGTAGATTAACAGATAAATGTACCTAAGATCAAATTATACATAATATAAAAGTTAATTCTTTGCTCATATATTCTCTCTAACCCATTTTATATGTTCTAATAATCCCAACTTGTTAACAATTTCACAAAAACGAACCAACATACAAGAAAGTTAAGTCCTTTAAGTACTTAAGTTGTGGTTCATTTTTGTAAGCGGTTACTGAGTTGGGATTATTGTTGAGAACTTCTCCAATAAAGATTATATTTGTACATTGCCTAAAAGTATGGATTATTAGTGCCGATTGCACTTTTATGTTTTAAATTTTTAAAAATAATATCAGTAGTTACATGTATAAATTACACATGGCACTCAAGTCGTGGAAAAAAGTACTAAAATGTAAACCATAGTTACCATACACATTTATAAAGGGAAAAATTGAAAATAATAATCCCAACTATTGTCGGTCCGCTGATAATAATCCCAAGTCCCAACTATTGATTATTTTTGTATAATCCCAACTATATGGACCGTCCGCCAATAATGGTCCATGACCAGATATTACCTCCTAAAAAAGTGAATTTTAAATAGAAATTAAGTGTAAACATTAAAATTTGGGATTATTTATAGGGATTACTTGCTATATCTCTCCTCATCCACTTTAGAAACAACAAGAATTTATTTATACGTGCCATTATTGGCGGAAGGTCCCTAAAGTTGGGATTATTCTGAAATAATCGATAGTTGGGATTATAATTATAAGCGGACTGCCAATAGTTGGGATTATTACTATCAATTTTTCCTTTATAAATCGAGTTGAAAATAAAACAGTAACATTAGTTTAACTCCAATCCATTGAATTACCACAAAAATAAGTTTGTAAAATAATCATTGTCTACTAGCAATAAACATTAATTACTGTGGAAACCCTAGTAGTATTGGGCTTAGCCCATTTTGTATATCTTGTATAGGAAACCCTAGCACTCTAAATATAGCTATAAATATAGCTTCTTGTATAGGATTTTATAGGAAGTATAATGAATACAATCTTATATTTCACATGGTATCAGAGCCTATACGGCAAATATAGTTAGCTAGTTAGCCTTATAAACTGCCGCTCCTAATCCGGACAGAAGTTCAGGCCATAATTTCCGGCGTGAATAGTGGTCGCAACTCACTTGAGTGCTTTTGGTAGTGATACAAGCCTACCATCGTGCTCAACTCTACATAGCGACTTACCGCCGGAAGTTTCGCTGCCGCTGCCTCACCCACGCGCCGCCGTCGGTCGCTGAAAGTCCGCACCTGCAGGTACACATCTTTGCAGATCTGCTCCGTCTTAGTCATCTGCGAGCGACACCGACGGGTTTTTCAGATACCTAGGTCCCTGACGACCTAGACCAGTCAGTCCGGTCCGCCGCCGCTTCCACACGCGCCGCCGCCGCTTCCACGCGCGCCGCCGCCGCTTCCACGCGCGCCGCCGCCGCTGCCGCCGACCGCGCCGCCGCCGTTGACCGCCGTCTCCCTGTGTCGTACGCTCGCCGCAGCCGCCCTGCAGTCTCCCTGCGCCGTCGTCCGCACCTCCCAAAGAAGATAGAGGTCTGTTTTCTTCATCCTTGTGTAGCTACAGTGCTTCAACCTGCTGCCTTCAACCTGCTGCCTGGGAAACCTTACGGCTGCTTCACTTCAATTTAATTGCAGTTGCACTTCTTTAAATATTTTATTTTTTGCTTCTCTTTAAAAAAAAAAAAAAAACAAAAAAAAAAAAGACAAAAAAAAAAAAAAAGAAAAAAAAAATGTCTTTTATGAATTCTGACGGAGGAAACAACACCGGATTCTCAAGACGGAACCGTCCTAAATGTGATTTTTGTCATAAAATTGGTCATACTAAAGACAGGTGTTGGAAATTACATGGGAGACCTCCTACCCCAGTCACCGTTGCTCAGATCCCACCATCTCCCATTGTTCTGTCTCCAGAAGAATATGCAGCATATCAGCAATTTAAGTTGACTAATATGCCATTATCTACAACGGGGATGTCTACCGCTTGCGTTTCAAACACAGCAGGCTCATGGATAATTGACTCTGGTGCCTCAGACCATATTTCTGGTAATCCCAATCTTTTATCCCATATTACCAAGCACCGACATCTTCCTATGATTACTCTTGCTAATGGCCTTCAAACTTCGGCTTCGGGTATTGGGCAAGCGCTTCCACTTTCATCCTTACCATTAGACTCAGTCTTATATGTCCCAAACACCCCTTTTAACCTTGTCTCTGTCAGTAAAATTACACGTGCTCTTAATTGTTCCGTAACATTTTCTGCTGATTCTGTGATTGTGCAGGACCGTTGTACAGGGAAAACGATTGGCGTCGGCCATGAATCTCAAGGTCTATATCACCTCCATCCTCTTGATCCAATCGCTTGTGTTTCAGTTGAACCTGCTATTACCTTACATAATCGTCTGGGTCATCCTAGTCTCTCAAAGTTTCAACGTATGGTTCCAGGTTTCTCCAATCTTTCATCTTTAGATTGTGAGTCATGTCACCTTGGAAAACAACCTCGTAAATCCTTTCCAAGGCGAGTCAATAACAGGGCTACATCACCGTTTGATTTAGTTCATACAGATGTATGGGGTCCGTATCGAGTCACTTCTACTTTAGGTTTCCGTTATTTTGTTATTTTTGTGGATGATTTTTCCCGTTACACATGGTTGTTTTTAATGAAAGAGCGTTTTGAATTGTTTCATATTTTTCAAACTTTTTGTGCTGAAATTCAAACTCAGTTTGGTCATTCTATCAAAATTTTACGCAGTGACAATGCTAAAGAATTTTTTGGGGCATCCTTTAATCAATTCATGACATCACGGGGTATGCTTCACCAATCTTCTTGTGTTCACACGCCTCAACAAAATGGGGTTGCTGAACGCAAGAACCGGCACTTGGTTGATACTGCTCGTACCCTATTATTACATTCCCATACACCACCTCAGTATTGGGCAGATGCCGTGCTCACTGCGTGTCATTTAATAAATAGAATGCCTTCCTCAGTTCTTAATAATGAAATTCCTTATTCTCTTTTGTTTCCTGCTCGTGATTTATTTCCATTACCACCTCATGTGTTTGGGTGCGTGTGTTTTGTCCATGATACGACACCAGGATTAGCTAAAATGGCGGCTAGGTCAATAAAATGTATCTTTCTTGGATATTCGCGACTCCAAAAGGGGTATCGTTGTTATTCTCCATTACTTAAGAAACATTTTATTTCAGCCGATGTCACTTTCATTGAGTCGTCCTTTTATTATCCATTATCTTCAGTTAATACCCCATCATGTTTGGACTTCACCTCATATCTTCGGCCCATCCATCAGGAGCCTCCCATTAACCCCCCATCTGATGAGCACCCAAACTGCCCTCCTATGTCAGATCGTCCATTACAGGTATACCATCGACGTCCTCGACCTCCTCCCATTGAGCCCATCGTGGCCACGCCCGTTGATTCCCCTATGACGGATCCTGCATCACCACCATCACCTACTCCAGCACTTGACACCACTCAGGATAATTTGCCAATTGCTCTCCGAAAAGGTACGCGTTCCACATTGAATCCACATCCCATATACAACTTTTTGAGTTATCACCGCCTCTCTACGCCTTACTATGCCTTTATTTCCCACCTATCTCATATATGCATTCCTAAAACCACACATGAGGCACTGGCACACCCGGAGTGGCGTAAAGCCATGTTGGCTGAGATGGAGGCTCTCCATACTAGTGGGACATGGGACTTAGTCCCCCTTCCCACTGGCAAATCAGTGGTGGGATGTCGGTGGATTTACACGGTTAAAGTTGGGCCTGATGGGGAGATTGATCGTTTTAAAGCACGCCTTGTGGCGAAAGGGTATACTCAGATATATGGCTTGGATTACACTGACACTTTTTCTCCTGTAGCGAAGATTGCATCAGTTCGTTTGGTTTTATCCATGGCAGCAATGAGCCGCTGGCCATTGTTCCAATTGGATATTAAAAACGCATTCCTTCACGGAGATCTGCACGAGGAAGTTTATATGGAGCAACCACCTGGATTTGTTGCTCAGGGGGAGTCTGGTATGGTGTGCAGATTACGTCGTTCATTATATGGCTTGAAGCAATCTCCACGTGCATGGTTTGGGAGGTTCAGTGCCGTTGTTTGCAGCTTTGGCATGATTCGCAGTGATGTTGATCATTCTATATTCTACAGACATTCTGCTGGCAACAAATGTATTTATCTTGTTGTGTATGTTGATGACATTGTCATTACAGGTAGTGATGATCAAGGAATTGCGCTCCTCAAGCAACATCTGTTTAGCAAATTTCAAACAAAAGACTTGGGAAAGTTGAGATACTTCCTTGGCATTGAGGTTGCACAGTCTCAAGATGGAATTGCTCTCTCACAAAGAAAGTATGCCTTGGATATTCTTGAGGAAACAGGTTTGCTAGATTGCAGGCCAGTGGATACACCAATGGATCCGAACGTTAAACTCTTATCAGAACAGGGAGATCTTTTGCCCAACAAGGAAAAATATAGAAGACTCATCGGAAAATTGAATTATCTTACCATCACGAGACCAGATATTTCATTTGCGGTAAGTGTTCTTAGCCAGTTTCTTGATAAGCCATGTAGTGGACATTGGGATGCAGCTATTCGAGTTTTGAGATACATCAAGAAAACTCCAGGGCAAGGATTGTTGTTTGAAGATCGAGGCCACCGTGATATTGTGGGATACTGTGATGCAGACTGGGCCGGATGTCCGATGGATAGACGTTCCACTTCGGGATATTGCATCTTGATTGGTGGAAACTTAATTTCATGGAAAAGTAAGAAACAGGATGTGGTTGCCAGATCTAGTGCTGAAGCAGAATATCGTGCAATGGCCCTTGCTACCTGTGAAATCTTATGGTTGAACCATCTCCTCCAAGAGTTAAAATATGGAAACACAAAACCGGCTCAACTCATGTGTGATAATCAAGCCGCAATGCACATCGCATCAAATCCGGTATATCATGAGAGGACAAAACATATTGAAGTTGATTGTCATTTTATCCGAGAGAAGATCACCAGTGGACATATAATCACAAAATATGTGAACACAACTGAACAACTTGCAGATATTTTAACTAAGTCTCTTAGAGGTCCTAGAGTGGAATATATTTGTAACAAGCTTGGTACATATGATTTATATGCTCCAGCTTGAGGGGGAGTGTGGAAACCCTAGTAGTATTGGGCTTAGCCCATTTTGTATATCTTGTATGGGAAATAAATGCATTTTGCTTGTTCTCTCTAGGGATAAGGAACAAATGTGCAATTGAACTAGGGATAAGGAACAAATGGAGAACCTTCAGATGCTAAATAATGAAACTTATCTTTACTTCTCTGAAAAAAGTTCTATACGTACAAACAGCACCACAGATCAATGGTACAAAAGAACCTGGAAAATAATACACCCCCAAGTGTGGCATTAAAAGCAAAATTGGCAAATGGAAAAACACGAATGAAGCAGTGAGAATAAAAATGGTCTGTTTGACTCTGTTTTCAGCCAAAACTCAGGACAATATATTAGATGCAATTGAAGATCTGAGGATAGTTTGTCGCAGAGAGCCATGCAATAAGGTACAAGTTTGCAGCATTGGAATGATAACACTACTTGCCAAGTTTTTGGACTACAAGAACATAACCATTCAATGTGTGACACTAGAATACTCAAAATAAATGCATTTTGCTTGTTCTCTCTAGGGATAAGGAACAAATGTGCAATTGAACTATATTTATCATAACACGTATCCCCCTCAAAATTTTGAAATAATTGAACACAAATTAAATGTTAAAAAAATAATACCTTTGAACTATAGTATCAGAGTATATACACATTAACTATTGGAGATTTGGACATTTTTTGAGAAGATTGGACATTCGGACATAGCTGTTCAAACTTTACCATTTTTATACGTAATTGTTCCAAAAGAAAGTTGAGGGGTATATTATATTGCTTAGGGGCATATCTATTCCCTTTCCCTTATTCAATACTTGCGTCTAGCAGAGTGGAGTCTTGTGTAAAACATGCATTTAATATGGTGGATGCTTAATTTCCCTTTTATAGGGGCAAGGTCGGAGAAAGCGATCTAGTGCAATGTCACAGCAGATATGTCCAGCGACTATGCTTAGCCACCATGAGGAGAATTATCCACACCTTGAGAGCGCTTGCCACGTCCCTGATATGGTTGCTGATCACAGATGTGCGACTAATGACGATTGTGGTGTTGATTCAACCACTTGTAGACGAAGATCATGCAGTATGGCTGGTTTCTGTGGTCTGTGGTTGTCGACATGAGAGTTGGCCTGCACATACAGATATTTCTTGCTCAAGAAACTGTGTCTTTTAACTTTTAAGTGCATATGTGTAATGTTAAAGTTGCAGATACACAAACAAATAATACCATACAAGTATTCTTTGTTAGGAAGAAGAGAAGATAGTATTCTGCATTCATGTGGGAAAGATCTTGTAACCATATAATACCTGTAGCCGGGAATATCGTACTCTAGGAGATATATACTTCGTATATAACTGTAGATGGGACTGACGTATTATCAGTAAAGACTTTTTTTAACGTCAAAGTGTGTTTATCACTTATTTTGCTTCTAAGGCTGGCGTGCCGTATAAATACAAGGGATGCATGAGGTGTGCATGCTACTAAGAGAAGATGATAGGATACATACAATGACTTATTTCTTATTGTGGTTATGTTTTCTTTCTGCTCTTTTTTATTTAATAGAATAGTCACCAAAATTATTTGAGGTCATTAAATAATTATAAGCTCAATGCATGTTGTTTCACATAAAGAGAGACAAATATTCATTGCTCATTTATTTTACAAAATACATGTAAATCCGCAACAAAACTAGTCATTATAGAACACAAAATGAACATCTATTATAAACATATTATTCTAGTGATTTCAACTTTTATAGCATTCACCTTTGATACCTTGTTCAACATAAATAAAGTGTTAGGTATTGATAATCTTGTTATGCCAGATTGTATGGTAAATCATAATTTTGTGAGAAGGAGCCAAATGATAGAAGTTAAACAGGCTCTGAGAAAGATGGGGCGAAAGAAAGCAATGGATCTGGATGGAATATTGTTCGAGGCTTGGAGAAGTTTGGGAGGGAGAGAGCTATTGAGTGGTTAACACATTTCCTCAACATGATATGGAGAAACAACAAAGTACCAGTGAGTTGGCAGAAGAATACTCTTATACCTTTATTTATGTAACACCCCCCAATTTTATGAGCTAGTTATACTACTCATTATTATTTATTTTAGTCCGCTAAATAAGTGTCTTCTATGAATAATGTGATATATTATTTAACATGTTTGTTTTTGGCAGGTAACGTGGACTGGTAAGCTCATAATAATCTTAATCGAAGAAATAAATACTATTGTAATATCTACTAGTATTACACCCGTGCGATGCACGATGTAATATATTGTTCAAATATTATGTTCAACGGGCAATATATAGAAAGTATAAATAAAAAATGACTTATTCTCTGGTGAAATCTAATAATTTTTTTAAAAATATTATTCTTAATTGAAGTGATTTTTAATGTAAAAATGATAAAATGATTTGGGAATAAAAGAATTCAATTTGAAAAATAAAGAGGAAATTTGATTTTACACCCCATGACTTAAAAAGCAAATTATTCAAGTCTATTAGTGTCTTTCATTTACACGATTGAAGAGTGCAAAAATTCAATAATAATAACAATTTAAATAAAATAATGCAGTTCTTAAATTCAATAATAATAACAATTTAAATAAAAAGCACTCCATTTCAACCCAATGCCCAGCCCGCCCAGTCAAATTTTTTTTTTTTGAGGGACCCAGTCAAATTTATTAGTCATTAATAAGGATGGCAACGGGGCGGATCAGGGACGAGTACACATAAAACCGAAATTGCCCCGTTGGATAAATGTTTGCCCCAAAACCACCTCATTACCCGTTCGGGTAATTTTTATTTGAACCGTACCCACCCCAACGGGGAATCGGTTTATCTACGGGTAACTGCTTGCCCAAATGATACCAAATAACCAATTTCTAATCCCACTTCTTATTTATACTAGTTTTTTATACGTGCGTTGCACGTTTGAGTAAATGCCCAATATTATATGAATGAAATTAAAACTTCAAAAAAAGAGAAAAAGTGAAATAAAGTTTGAATGAGAAGATAGAGAACAAACATTTATCATAGTACAACCATCAATACATAATGAAGCCATATTACATGTAAAGCAAAACTTAAAACTATAGTCTAAGATTAAAAAATTGTCTCATTTCGATTTGACGGGCCTTTATCGTATTTAACCGCTTTCGGAACAAAATACTTACTTGATTCAGAACAAAAGTAAAATATTAATTAACATTTAGCAACCGGATTATAAATTAACTAAAGCGAAGTATGGAAATAGAGACGATATAAATACTATCTACTTGACATACGTGGGCCGTTGTCCAAACTCAATAGTCGTGAAACAAAGTGCCTGAGTTCATAAACTCTATCATATATGATCTTCAAAGAAAACAAATTCTGTTGGATAATAGAGCAGTACTCCCTCCGTCTCGGAAAATTGTTCCCGGTTTCCTTTTTGGGCCGTCCCGAAAAATTGTTCCACTTTCCCCTTTTGGAAAGTTTTTTGTGACTACAATTCATTTACCTTTTTCTTACTCAACCACAACCATACATTTCCACTTTATTCCCACTTTCTTAAACTCGGTTCCAAGTCAATGCGGGAACAATTTTCCGGGACAGAGGGAGTATAAAACTTGTTTTGTTAGTTTTTCTTTTTAATTTTAGTAGAAAGTCATTTTCCCATTAGCTACATGTTTTATGTGTAGAAAAAAAATGACAAGATCTTATGGTCTAAATCTATCTGATGTGTTCAGATATGAAAATTTTCATGTAATCTGATCATACCTAAATATTTCTGATTTAATCTGATTATACTCCTTCAGTCCCAATTTGTAAGGTACATTTCATATTCACTTGGTTAACATAAATCATTTTAATCTTTTACTTTATATATCAAAATTTTATGAAATTTGAATTATTTTTTGTAGGCTTTGTAGCAGTTTTAATGTAATATCTAAATATGTAAATTTTATTTTTAAAAACTAATTTGAGTGTTGACAGGAATCAATTTGCTTTATCGTCTGTCAAACATCGTAAACAATAAAGTATATTACAAATTTGGACGGAGGGAGTATAAAATAAGAATAAACAATAACTAATAAGAATAAGATGAGATAACAACTCCCAACAAAGAGATGTAGCCAAATTGTTGCGACCACGAGAGCCTAACAACAAAGGGGTAGTTTCGAAGTAATCATTTTCACAACCCGTGTGAAATTTTTGCTGAACATCAGTCATTTCAATTAAAAAAGAAGAAGATAAAAAACTATGGGAAAAGGGGCAAATAAGCCCTCGAACTAATCCAAAAGGTGCAAATCACCTCTTTTTATAGGAGACTCTGTCCGACCGTCATCATTTGGGGAGGTTCCCGGTGTAATTTTTGGATGAAATTTTTTGAGCATATAATTTCAAAGCGAGCAGAGGATTTGGTGTTTGTTCATACCAAATCCCGGTGTAATTTTTGGATGATTTTTTTTGAAAGTTCTACCCATACCAAATTTCAAATAAAAGTTCAACCGGGAAGGTAGTCAAATGAATTTTTGAAGATAACTATGCAGTTAAACATCGCAGTATATTTCAGAAAATCATTTCATTGCCTTCCCGGTTTTATTTTTAGCTGGAATTTGGTATGAGTAAACTAGACTTAATGAAGAAGATGCTCAAAAAACTTCATCAAAAAATTCCACCGGGAACCGCCCCAAATGGCGACGGCCTTACAGAACCTCCTATTTGAAGGGGTGATTTGCACTTTTTGGTTAGTTCGAGGACTTATTTGCCCCTTTTCTCAAAAACTATCTTATCTACTATAATATAAAAGCAAAATCTATGAAAACACTGTTTTTTCAACAGTGTTCCCGCCCAAAGTCCTAAGGTGAGAGTCCATAACCTGAAATTACATAAATAGCCCTGTGAAGGAGCCATGTGAAGGGTAAAATTGCAAAACAAGAAATAATGATGACATTTGAAAAGGTTTCTGAAAAGTATCTAAAAAGAAAAGTTCCTTGATGCACGTGCACAGTAAAAACTTTAAAGAAAGTTCAAAAGTAAACAGAATTACGGCCCCAAACAAATCTGGCCAGGCTGTATTTACAGGCATGCGCACACAATATCTATAAAATATGCGGAGTAATAAAATTTGTAATAAAAAAACAGTCCATCACTTCTGGCCAGCCTGTTCCTTGGGGCATGTGTAGTATCAGCCAATCAAAATTTGCTAGCATGTTCTTGGGGTGTTTATTTTCTTGATAGGAGGGTCATTGACTTGCCTATAAATATTATGCTTTCACAACGCACACATCCCACACAATTGTTAACTTCATCTCATTCCCTCTTGATTCTCTGCCTACAATGTGAAAGATTATCATCTTAAACGTGCCCATATATATATTCATATTACATACAAGTAGTTCCTCTCTTGGTGAGAAATGAAAAATAGAATATTTGAGCAGATAAAAGGAGAAATCAAATGGGATTACAACTCGATGGAGTATAAGTAGAAGAGGTAAAAGATCAAAGCTTCTGCAGTTTCTTGGCACATATTCTTCAAATAGAAAGAACTACAAAGAGACGGCCACAAATTGCAGGAATGATGCAGCAAATGTAAAATAGGAAGATAATAAGTTCATATATGCATATCCCTCAACAAAAAAGGAAGATAATGAAATAGAAATTCATAAAAGAAATAGAAGTATAAAAAATAAATTTATTGAGTTTAAACAGATTTTATTTGTACTCACATTTTATTTCCTTCCAAACTTCTCTTACATTTTCCTCTCTATTGTTTTTACCCAGAATTTTCCAAGTTCCAAATAGAAACTGAAACACTGGGTTCAGCAAGGAAGGAGCTTAAGAGAACAGAAACGGGAAAACAGAAACAGATCTTTACTCTCCAGATGTTGATGTTTCAATGGAGAACCTTCAGATGCTAAATAATGAAACTTATCTTTACTTCTCTGAAAAAAGTTCTATACGTACAAACAGCACCACAGATCAATGGTACAAAAGAACCTGGAAAATAATACACCCCCAAGTGTGGCATTAAAAGCAAAATTGGCAAATGGAAAAACACGAATGAAGCAGTGAGAATAAAAATGGTCTGTTTGACTCTGTTTTCAGCCAAAACTCAGGACAATATATTAGATGCAATTGAAGATCTGAGGATAGTTTGTCGCAGAGAGCCATGCAATAAGGTACAAGTTTGCAGCATTGGAATGATAACACTACTTGCCAAGTTTTTGGACTACAAGAACATAACCATTCAATGTGTGACACTAGAATTTCTAGGAGAGTTGGCTGAAGAGAACAATGATAGGAAGGTGATTTCTTTTCTCTTTTATCAGTTTATGTCATTTGCATTCACCACCTATAAGATCAATGCAAGTAATGTTATGTTTCTGACCTGAAACTAACATGTGAATTT